TCTATAAGTCAATCTCATAGTGATAAAGGAGAGGGATAAATAAACGATTGTTTAAATTTAATATAGAAAATTGAGGTGTTGAGAAAAATAAAAAAATGAGAGATAAAAATAAATTGTATAGTTAGGTCGATGACATACTCCATATAGTTACATGAGATAAAAATAGATGAAAAATGAATTAAAAATAACATAAAAATTAAGGGTGTGCAAGAGACCACTCTTTCCCACCAAAGAATGTATTCTATCATAAAAATTAAGGGTGTGCAAGAGACACTCGGTCACTCACTTTAATCTATTTGATAATGTAATAAATTATGAATGTTGTATGATATCCCAATGATTGATCATTCAGATATCATACAACATTCATAATTTATTACATTATCAAATAGATTAAAGTGAGTGACCGAATGTCGTCCGAAGGACTCCGTGAACAGGTGTTGGGGTAGGATGGCAAAGAATGATAGAAATTAGAAAATGAGAAATGGGAAGTTCCATAAAAAAGATAAATTCCATCAAGGGTACAACGTATTGGCTACCTACTCAGTGCATATTTGATATTTATTTCCGGCCAGTTTTTTTAATTAAAATGACAAAAATATTACCGCTACCCTTTTGGAAGAAAAAATATGACTGGTAATCATTTTCCAAAATGCGACTAGTCAACTACCCAACCCTGCCCCATTGCCTCATCGCATGACACATAAAATCTCAGAGCCTGTTTACTAACAGAGATATTTTTCAGTTTTCCAGAAAACTGGAAAACTAGAAAATAGAAAACAGGAAACGTGTTTACCAAAGAAATTCCTGGAAAACTGGAGAAAGGAAAAAAGAAAAACGCGTTTACCAAATCGTTTTCCAAAACGGAAAAAATGAAACATGTTTCTCTTTTCCTTAATGATTTGGAGAAGTGACTTTTACTAGTTTTCCAAATTTGGAAAACGCAAATGCTACAGTGCCGCTGCAATGAATTTGCATACTTACACCTAGTGGTGGGTCCGGTCCCGCTCCGATGTCGATTCCATTCTGGTACCTCCATCCTCGTACCTTACCCCTTACCCCTACCCTACCCTACCCACCCAACCCAACCCCGCATACCCATTTTTCCCTATAATGACCCTACCCCACCCCCTACCACATGCCCCTACCTCGGCCCCACCCCGATCCACCCTACCCTATTGCCACCCCCTACCACCTCGACCCCACCCCGACCCACCCTACCCTGCCCCCACCCGTATATTACCCCTTACCCCTTACCACATGCCCCTACCTCGGCCCCACCCCACCGCCATCCTACCCCCACCCTCGTACTGCCATCCTACCCCCACCCTCGTACTGTCATCCTACCCCCACCCTCGTACCACCATCTTACCCCCACCCTTCCGCCATCCTACCCCCACCCTACTCTTCCCCTATCCCGGGCCCACCCAGATCCCCAGCCCACCCTACTGCCATCCTATCCCACTACCCCAACCTTACCCCAACCCTACCCACTACCCCCACCCTTACCGCCATTCTACCCCCCACCCCCCTACCCCTTCCTACCTCGACCCCACCCTGGTCCCCGGCCCCACCCTACCGCCATCCTATCTCAACTCCATACCCTACCTCTACCTTACCCCAAACCCTACCCACTACCCCACCCTTACCCCTAACCACAACCCTAACCCACCCACTACCCCCACCCAACCCCCTACCCCTACACCTTACCACCCCACCCTGACCATACCCCTTACCCCAACCCCACCCATAACTTCCCTACCCCGACCCCTATGAGTAGGTATGGGTGGGTATGAAGGGTTGTGGGGGAGTATGGGTAGAGTGTAAGATCGTGGTAAGGGTAGGGGTCAAGGGTGTGGAATTAGTGAACTGGGTGAAAAAATTGATGAACATATTTTCAGATTTGAAAATGGAAAACTAAAAAATAGAAACAGAAAATTAGAGATAGAAAAACTGAAAAATAAAAACAGAAAATTGGAGAACGAAAAACAGAAGTAGAAAACAGGAAAATATCTCTGTTAGTAAACAGGCCCTCAGTTTTTTTTCTGTCACCTGTCTCCAGAAAAGGCGCTCAAATTTTCACCATAAAATCTCGTTTTTTTATTTTCGCCGAAAAAGACGAAAAGGCACCGGAGAAATTTTCCGGCAGCCAAGTCACATGCTTCACAACATGATAATGACACAAATTATCCCCATCCCTTCACTCAGATCAACCTCACAAACCCGATCCCTGGCCACTATGAATATACTATGTATTTACTTGCATCATTGTGTGAAGACTTGAAAATGAAAATCGTTTAAAATGTGTATCAGATGAAATTAAACGGAAAACAAAAGTCAATAATTCAACTATTATTTTTAGGGAAACAGACAAGAATAATCTTAATTATTAGTGATCTAATTGAAATAATTTAAAGTATCAATAATTCAACTATTATTGCAAAAATTTCTCAACATTCTCCACTGACTCGTAAATATTATTAGTCATTGAGTGTTTCGAGAACTTTTTTCAATACTTGAGATTATTTTAAAAGAAATTGATACTTTGAATCACTAATTATTGCCATATTTTGATAGTACCACGAGTTAAAAATGACAGTATTTTTCAAACGTGACAGTAATAACTCCTATTTTGGTAATAAAAACATGACAGACCTGTTTCAAAATTTTCAAACGTTTTTACTCCTAGTCCGAGGATTCGACCTGGTCCGAAACCGGGTCTGACATTGTTTGAGATCGAACGAGGTCAGAAAAATCTAGTTCAGGCCTGGACCGCCCACAGTCCGCCCAAGCATGTTAGCCGATCCCGGTTCGCCCATTTGGGGTCCCAATCAGGCAGTTATGATCCCGATTTTAGTCTCGAATTGGCCAATTTTTTTTTACTTGAATAAGGGGAAAATGAAAAAAATAGAACAGAGTCGGGTCCTAACCGGAACCGGCCCAGATCCAGATTTAACCGGGACTGGTCGGTCCGGGACTGGAACTAGAACCGGACCGACCGGAACCAAGTCCACCCTAGTATGAGCTATGATGGCTGGAGCCTAGGGTAGTTTAACTTTTACAACTTTTGTAGTGTAATTTTTTTCATTTTTCATATTTAGCTCACCCCACCAATGTTTAAGTCTAATATAATTCAGCATTTCAACATGTAATAAAATTTCACTACTTAGCCTTTTCAAATATTTATAAATATAATCTCTACCGTTAATAATTTAAAGAAAACGTTGACAATACGAATTATATTTATGATATGTTGTGAAACTGAGGGCGTCATTTACAATATGTTCACAATCAAGGAATGAAGTTTAATTTTCACACATTCTCCAAATGTAACAAATGACTAAATGCAAGATTTATTCCATCCATTTACAAAAAATACTCCGTAAAAGACATTGGAGTTAAATGACAAAATAAAAATGTAATGTTCCGACAATTTAATTCATACAAATTGTCTTATTTTTTCTTTTGAATTAATTCCACTTTTGATCATGTGAGTATTGTCATTTCCTCATTTGGTCCACGTCTTTGACTTTGACCACTTTTGGTACATAAATATTGTGTTTTCACCCATACATGGTCCTTCCGACAACAATTCATATGGTTAAATCGCCGGAGAAGGGCAACAAATGGTCAAGAAACATTAGTCAAATACCAAAAGTGGACAAATTGAAAGAAGTGGGCTAAATATGAAAATGACATAAAACTCAAAAGTGGAAATAATTCTTTTCTTTTTGTATGGTGCACGTATTTATCTTATTTCTCTTTCCCACTTACTTATTTGAGTTGTTTCGTCCCTATTTGTCTCTTAGCCATATAGGAGCTAAAACGACACTTTGGCTTTACAAAAAGATTACGCAACATTAAAACAAGGGTTTACAAAACACTTCGTAATTTTCATGGGATTTGAGCAATAAGAATGCTTCGTGTCTAACTCGGAATTGTTAACCCCCAAAGACATTGCTTCCACAAGTAGAGCATCATCTACGTATAAATAACCGAGCAACAATAGCTGTTCACATAGCCGATAAAGGACAAGTATTTTGACTTTTTATTGCAAACATTTTACAACTTTCGTTAGTTTCTCAAAACTCAATAAGTCAAATAAATTATGTAACATTTATATCTTCCACTTTCATTTTTTAACTGCAACATTCATATCTTATTATTTCTAAATCTTCTCATCATTCTCTCAATAAATTTGCAAACAATTTATAATTTATGCACTAGTACGACACTTTTTTGGGATTTATTCTTCATTTCAACAAACTATTTCATTATTTTCTCATCATATCCTCAATAATTTATCTCTTTTCACTATTCATAATCTCACCTACTTTTAAATGGAAAGATATAAATGCTACGAAGGTACTACTTTTTAAGAATAACTTATTGGCTCTTGTTACTATAAACTCTGCTTAATACAAAATTACTGAGCAGATGTTCGGTTAAAAACATTAAAACACTTTTTTCTTCAATTTTTGGTTTAAAAAAGTGAAATGAATATTTAAGTAACAACTTCTACTTAAATTAAGCACTTAAAAACTAAAAATTGGAAGCGGGTGAAAAAGTGATTTTAAATGCTTTTCCAATTTTCTATTACACAAAAAATATTTTTTATCGAACACCACCAACTTTTACTTTTTTAAAATCACTTTTTGAACAAATACTACCTATTTTAACTATCAAACATTTTTTTCCCCTAAAATCAAATTTTTAAAGTAAAAACAAGCTCAAACACTCGCTATGGGAAAACTTTCACTAACATGGGGCCCTACTTTGAAAAATGCCTATCTTTTAAAAATATTTCCAAATGTGGCATTTTCAATTTTCTCACTTGCCAGTCAAGTGGCAGAGATCGTGGTGAGACCCAGACAGCGAACACAATTCGTCCATGTTTCGTTATGTGTACGTTCTTTCCCACATGAAACATCACCATTTCCTCGGGTCCACGCACGCACTATAAATCTACAATCATTCTAATACGACTTCATTTCTATCATTAGAGAGTAAGTAAACTAGTACTCTTCCACCATGTTGAGCGGCCACCAGCCAGAAAAGGACCCCTTACTCATTCTCCATTCCACCAAAGAGGAAGGTAAAGCATCATCAAAACGCTCTTATGACGACACCATCGAGCGTTGCATCGGAAAGTTTGGGTGGGCCCAGTTCCTGCAAGTCATCCTCGCTTCTCTGGCATGGGCTTTTGACGCCCAGCAGACCTTCATCACTGTCTTCACGGACCGCGTCCCCACGTGGCACTGTGACACTTCATATGCATCATCTCAGTGCAGCCATGATGGTATGCAGGTAGCCGAGGTCTGTGCACTCCCGAAGGATACATGGGCATGGGACACGCCGGCACACGCATCAGTTGTGTCTGAGTGGTCCCTAGAATGTGCCAGCCCATTTGTGACCGGGCTGCCTGCAACCTCGTTCTTCATCGGCTGCCTAGTTGGCGGGCTCTTGCTTTCCACATTTGGTGACTCATCCTTCGGCCGGAAGAAAACGCTCGCCTTCTCATGCTTACTCATGAATGTCGCGAGCATCCTCACAGCGACCTCCACGAACGTGTGGGCTTACTCATTCTGGAAGTTCTTGACTGGATTCGCACGTGCTACCATTGGAACATGTGCGCTCGTTTTGTCGACTGAGATCGTCGGGAGGCGGTTGCGGGGGCAGGTTGGGATCATGGGATTTGTATGTTTCTCTCTTGGATTCCTCTCTTTACCCGCAATAGCATACCTGAACTCCGAGTCTTCCTGGAGATATCTCTACCTCTGGACGGGCATCCCCGGGATCATACACTCACTTCTAGTTTTCTTCTTTGTTCATGAATCTCCAAGGTGGCTTTATGTTCGAGGACTAACTAAAGATTTTGTCCAAACAATCCGAAACATCGCCCCGCCAGACATGCGCAACTTAATAACCTGCAGCTTCTTCGGCTCGTTCATTCAAGACCATGAATTAACACCTGACCTGCAAGATGATAATCAGAACCGCATGGGTTTGTACTCAGCACTAAAAGTGTTGCTAAACAAACGCTGGGCTGTACGCCGCTTACTGGCAATCATGTGTGCAGCGTTTGGGTTTGGGCTGGTGTACTACGGCATACCACTGGGTGCCGGCGAAATGCCGTTTAGCATCTACCTCAGCACGGCTCTAAATGCCTTGTCCGAGCTGCCGGCCTCGCTGATAACATCCTTAATGATAGACAAGCTGAGGAGGAGAACCTCGGTGTTATGTATGGGTTTCCTGTGCTGCGTCTGCAGCTTTGGTTGTGCTATGCTGGCAGGGGACACGTTGAAATTCCTACAGATTGGGCTGGAACTGGTTGCATTCTTCAGCGGATGCACAGGGTTTAATGTGGTGCTGATATACACGCTCGATCTGTTTCCAACTAGCGTGAGGAACTCAGCTATGGCAATTGTGAGGCAAGCACTGATGCTCGGCGGTGCCATCAGCCCACTGCTCGTTGGGCTTGGCAGAACGAATAGGTATTACTCATACGGGGTGTTTGGATTGACCATTGGCATGTGCTGCTTGTTTGTGATTCCTTTGCCAGAGACATTTGGAAGAGACGTCTGTGACACTATTGAAGAAGAGGAGCGCAGGGATGGTGGTGAAACAAAAATCTGATATAGCAGCACGGTCACTAATCCCAAATATATGTAGGTGGTACTAGCATGTTGATCCACACATGGTTGGTTTTGAGTTAATTGTGAAAAATGTGAAAAAACATACCCCATAATAAAATACTCTTGTGATATACAATATGAATACACAGTATGCAATTCATCCAAAAAATAAATGTTTTTATTTAAAAAAAAAACAATATATGAAATAGTCAACGATTACTCATGAATTTCAAACAATTTTCAGTTCATTTGATTAGTGCCACCTTTATTATCAGTGACAAAGGCAGAAGTGCAGAACCAAGGTAGAAATTACTATACTGTTATACAACACTGTTTAAATATGTATATATAGACAATTCCTTAAGTATTAAATGACGAACACTATAAAGTTCACTCTATATAAGACACTGGCACTAATTAAATTGCATGGCTCACCACTCAACTTTAATTGTACAATGAAAATGACGCAAAGATAAGCCAAATAAAACCTGATTGAACTTACAAGGGGAGTTGCAACAATAGGCTAAGTCCAATGCTTTATCAGTTGTTGGATCTTCTCAAGAAAGCCAGTATGCCCAACCCAGCAGCTAATGCAGCACCAGCTGCCACCGCATTGTATGCCGAGGCCCATGCATCTGCATGAGCATAGCCTGTGCTACTAGAACCAGGTCTCTGTATTCCTGAATATTCTAGATGCAATCTTAGCCCCTGTAATTAAAATTGTTATTAGTTGCTTAGGTATTTAGATACAAACGCGCTCTCAAAGACCTGTTCTTTTCATCCACCTATGGTCCAAATTCTAAAATAAAATAAAAAGAAAGGGCAGAAAGGGACTAGAAAATACCTTCCAACCAGCTGACCTTGCATGTTCAACAGCAGCAGCAAGATCACTATCAGATGCAAGTATAACTTTGTCATGGTCTTCATCTTCATACTGCAAGCACAGGTCCATAATGGTCATAAAAATTCGTGCAACGAAGCCCTTTGTATTTTTTTCATTTTGAAAGTTTCTTTTTTAGTTTGAATCCTTGGAAAGAGGGAGTGGGGGTCCATTTGAAGAAGAAAAATGTATTGTAACATACAAGAATCTGGGGAAGATTGTTCCGGTCAATGTCATCCCCAACTCTCTGAAGGATTGCAGTAATGACATCCGTCATTCTTTGAGTCTCTGAAAACCAGAAAAAATTAAGAACCAAACTAATGCATATCAATCTATGGGAGCTACCTTAAGAGCATACATGAGAGTATTGAATACATAGATAAGACCCATCAGCAGACAAACCTATATTAGTACATTAGCAAAGAAATGGATAAACTAAAACTAAACTAGTAAAACTACACTAGCAAAAAATGGATGAACATGAACAATAATCTCTTCAATGATAATGGTTTTGTTGAGAAAAATTACGTATATGATACATTTGACACGTTTTTGGTAATCAGGAATGTCAATAACTTGGATACACAATTAAAAGTACTCTAACTCCAATAAGACATTTATAAATGAGAAACAGAACTGCATGCATGCTACAGCTAATCATGTTATGAGTGTTCAACAAAACTCTTAAAAAGATTGGTAGCTAGAAAAACTTCGACATCCAAATAAAGAATTTCAAACATGGAACTCCAACTTGTCGTCACAATTTACAAACAAGGAAAAGGAAGCTTGGACGAACCATGGAAGAGCCAATCATGTTAGCAATCTTTTATCAAATTTTTAGCATGTGCACAGCAGTTGTTCAAGTTTGTGTTTCAAGAACTTGATGCATGAAAACCATTTTAAGACATACCACATGTGAATCTGTGCATCCGTCCCTTTCTATCTTGAGTCTTAAAAGAAAAAGTAGTGGGCAGGTTTGAAGAAGGAACAGGAAGAGCTCTTCCAGTCTCTGTTCCTTCAGAGGCCATTTTTAGAGAACTGTCACTGATATAACATAGCAGCAAATGAGAGAAAAAAAACAAAATTTGGAAGAACTTGAAGATAAAAGACATAAATAAGGGAACCAGGCCACAACCTACGTGTCTCTTCATCATCATCAGGAGCCAAAGCCATAGCAGAATCCCAAAAATTTTGCATCATTGTGTTTGTAGCTTCATTATTCACTTCGGCAGTATTTCCTACCTATTTAAAAGAGAAAACAAACACTATTATACGGTCAATAAGAATGCACCTATAACTAGTACTACCTCTGTCCCATATTGGTTGTCCTGTTTTGATTTGGCGCGATTATCAATAAAGTGGTTGAAGAGTAAAAGTTGTAGAGATTTGAGTAGAAAAAAGTGAAATGATAAGGACCACATATTTCATGCCAAAATGAAAGCGGGACATTCATTTTTAGACAACCCAAAAACGCTAAGCTGAAAATATCACACAAGATTCATTTCTGTTAATATTAAACAAGAATTTTTAGATTCTTCTGCATACCAGTTTACCATTACTAAACATCCAAATAGAGCAAGATGAATGTGCAGAAAATTACATACCAATATCACAAATATTCTGATACAATCCAACTCAACGATTAGTGTATAGCTTCATTGCAACTGAGATTAATAGAGAAAACAGAATGAACGGAAAAGAACAAAGCTGAGATCTCTTCGAGAGGATCTCTCTCTCCAACTTTCAAACAGACTTCTGGCCAACCTTCTCTTTCTTCCTGTCTGCTCTTTTATTCTCTACCCACACATACCACAGTCCACATCAGCCTATCTGTACTTCGCGTCCTCCACTCCCCTGAATTGTTTATTTACTTTCTTTCCCCTCCTTTCATAGACTCTAGTGAAATCCCTATTGGGATTAATAGAAAGCAAATTCGGACCCGCATCACCACTCCCCCCTTTTATTTTATTGGGATCTGCTGTCAGCCCATTCCCAGAGATAATGTGCCCCAAATGTATCAGTTGTGACTGCCAAACCTACACTTCTTTTTATTGACCACCAAGCTATTTTCAGCTAATAGTCGCAGCACCTTCCTGAGGTGTTCCTGGTACTCTTCTGCTTTTATGTTGTAGATAAGTATATCATCAAAGAATATTAGCACAAACTTCTGTACGTAGGGTTTCAAAATCTGATTCATAAGGGACTGAAATGTAGAGGGAGCATTAGTTAACCCAAAAGGCATCACTAGATACTCATAGTGACCCACTGACCCTCATGGGTTCTAAAAGCTGTTTTGTGAACATCCTCTTCCTTCGTTCTGATTTGATGATAGCTTGACTTGAGAACCAATTTGGAGAATTTTTTGGTGTTTCCTAGCTCATCCAACAATTCTTCAATAAGAGGTATAGGGAATTTATCAGGGACAGTTATCTTGTTCAGGGCCCTGTAATCGCAACAAAATCTCCAGCTCCCTCTTTTTTTGGCTAGGATTACAGGGCTGCTGTAGGGACTGTTACTTAGTCTGATGATCCCTGCCTTCAGCATCTCCTTTACTACATTTTGAATCACATCCTTCTGATACTAAATACTGAGGGTACCTGTAAGGCCATAAATTTGGTATGGTGGCCCCTTCCTTTATTTTTATAGCATAGTCACACTGTCAGTTAGGTGGTAATCCTTGAGGAGGCTGAAAAACTGCAGCATATTCTTTTATCACTTCCTCCCATTCTTCGTCAAAGTTTACTTCCTCAGAAGTAATTTCTTCACACTGTATGAAGTACCCTTCTCCTTGTCCTTGCAAGGTTTTAAGAACAGATTTCCAAGTAGCATGGGATTGGCTTAAAGCTGAATCTCCTCTCAACAACTGAACATGTCTCTCCTCTGCCCACTGAATAGTTAACTCCTAGAAGTCAGCTTCTATTTCTCCCAGACTGACCAGCTTCAATTCCATTCCCAGAACCAGATCAGTTCCACCTAACTCCAGAAGATAGATATCTTGTATAATCCAATAGCCCTTCACTTAAATTGTCAGTGTAGAACACTTTCCTTGATTGTGGATATTCTCCCCATTACCCATTTCTACATGAAATTCTGAAGTTGATTGTTTGTAGCCAGTTTTTGAGATATGAAATTGTGGGATGCTCCAGAATCAATCAAGATAACTACAGCTGTGCTCTTGTCTTGTAACTCTTCTTCAGATAATCTGTCTTCATTCCTCCTTACCTTACTGATAGTTGGACCTCCTTCAGCTTTTGTTGAGTTCTCCATTTTGTCAGTAGCCATATCTTTTGTAAATGAATTCCTGAGTTTGTGTCCTTCAGTCCAAGGCACATACTGCCAAAGGAATTGTTGAATTACATGGGTTTCAAAGAACTTTTGTATCTGACAGAGATAGTATTTTCCTTAGCACTTTTTGGTCTGAATTGTTCATGTCGGCTAGAACAAAATTGAAATACAGCACTGCATACCACCATCGTTTGTCCTCATCCTTATTACTCCTTGTTTTCGGAGCTGCATTTTTCTCTACTATCAACACTGCTCGGTCCATAATTTCTGTTATATGTTGAGATGGATATAACTTTCAGCCCATTGATGAAGATGCCTTTAAGCATTTCATTATCAGTGTTTCTAAGTGGGGCTACCACCAACTCAAATCTGTCCCTGTAATCCATCACTGAACTCGTTTGCTTCACGCTTAGTATAGGGCCATATGGGTTTTGTACCATATCAGGCTGAAATCTTCTAATGATAACATCTTTGAAACCTCCCAGGTACGGATAGTAGTCTGCTCCTCCCACCATTGGTACCAATTGAGTGCCTTGTCCTCCAAGCATCCATGATTAACTCAATTTTTTCCTCGTCTAGGATATCATTCAGCCTAAATTACCTCTTAGCTCTTATTATCCAGCCATAAGCTTCTGTTCCATTGAATACCGGTAAGTATTTTTCTTTCAGTTTTCACTCACGCCATATTGTTACTGTTATCGCGCCTGGAATACGAAGATCTAGGCCGATCGAAATTACCTCTTGAGTCAGCAAAATTCGTACTCGCCTCGCGACGCTTCTGCCTAGGCGCCCGAGATCTCCCTCGCAATCGTTGGATATTCTGTTGCGTCATCAGAGTTCGCAGCTCCTCCAGCTTTGCCTCTATTCTGCGACCCTTGTTCAACAACCAGCTGTGCATCTCATCAACGATGTTGTGCATGTCCTGCACGTTATTCTTCACTGTCTCCGGTCTGTGTTCCATCTGTCCTCTCGTCCAGGTCATCCACAATC